GGTTGGCTATACCAACTGACCCTCCCATTCCCCCAGTTTTCAGGTTAAAGTAACCCAAAATCCACATTTTTCCATAATCAAAATGAAACACCACTACACACACACAGACACACACACATATACACATACATACATTCATACATACACACTTACATGTATAGATATAGATATATATGTATGTATATAGATAGATATGTATGTATGTATATGTATGTATGTATCACTAGTGTTTAATTTTGATCAAAGAAAAATGTGGATTTGGGGTTACTTTTTTAAACTAAAAAATTGGGGATTTTTTTTTTTATCTCAGAAAGCCAGGATGCCAGTGATAAGTGTGATAAAAGAAGCTGTATAGAATGAAGTTTCATAGTATCTACTCTTTACTTGCATTAATTGTATATGTCATAACTTTACCTTTAGCCTTTCTATGAAATATGCAATAGAAACAAGGAGACAATACACTGATATGAACAATTTAAAACCTTGCAATATCCCATCCCAAGTTCACTGGACGACAGGTTAGATGATATTCAATTAGTAGCAAACATCTTAATCTTCTTGGCTTCTGACTTTGCTGACAAATCATGCTGCCATTTGGCAGCAAATCAAGATGCTAGGTCTATGCAATTTTAATTAAGTTGCAGTCACATTAAAATTATCACCCTTATTTTTGCTTCATTGACACTACATTATGTTTTTATGGAAAGAAATACAGAGCAGAATATTATTACTTCTTAACTGCTCGTGGATACAAAGGCACTCATGAAGGAACATGCTCTTACAGGAGAATTTGTTTTTATCACAAAGACCTTGCAGAATGCTTTAATGTCATCCTTGGACACATGCATTATGGAGGTTGGTAGATTTGCCTACCTTTATTGAAGTGCTGCAGTCAAACCGAAAAGATTTGGTTTGTCCATTTTCAAGATATACCTTCAGAACATTTGGCATAAAAAGAAGTGAATTGTCCTTAACTGTTTCCTGTCAAAAAATTAGTGAATCAGATTACAACCCTAGTTTGCTTGCAATTAGAAGAATGGAATTTATATTCTATAGGGAAGAACGGTGTTACAGCAGTGGAGACTAGTGACATTTGAAAATAAGTTGTTGGCTCAAATTCAAGGCAGAATTAGCAGCGCCTATCCTGGGGGAACTCTAGTGGTATGGAACAGAGCTGTATGTCAGAGACCTACCAATGATTAGACTGAATGTCACTGATGCTGAAACTGTGGTACTAAATTAGGTTTTCCATCAGTAATTGATAGACTTTATTACAAAGACAACTATTAATGGTACTATATTGAAAGTCCTCTGTTCTCAATAAATCAATATTTTCAAGCTGCAGACAATTGAGTAGGTGAAAAAAACAACAGTTTCTTCTTGTCACATGGATTTTCATTATGAAACCTCTTTTATATTGAAAAAGATAAATAAAAATTATTCAAATGCTACAAACTCAGCATTAAATTGTAAATTTACTAAAAGTGATACTCTTCCAGCGTTTTTATGTTATTTTCTAAAATAGTATTTTGCAAGAAAGTGTGATTTATGCAGACAGAAACAGAAAAATGTCTACTTGGAAATTATCACATAACTGTCACATTATATTATATAATAAGACATGGAGACAATTATTATCTCAAACTGTCAAATCAAATGTGCTAAGGTCAAATACTTTCCTGGTATAACTCTGCTCAGTTACGTAAACATGCATCAGGGACGCATTGGGTCAATTATTTTTTATGTAGCATACAGCATTTTAGGGATGTGGCCAAAGGGTATAACAAGAATCCACAGCTGGATTCTGCACACCTGTACATGGGAGATGTTTGTACCTGGGATTTTTGTTCAGGCTCCCCTCAAATAACTTTCCAAGAAGTAACACACATTTTTGGGATTCAGAAAACTATACAGATGGAACTATATGCATCTCAAATAATGTTTCCTCAGGTAAGCTAAAAAAATCCATTTAAAAATCAAAGCAGCCAAATAAATGTAAAAGAAAACATTTCCTTGACTATCTGGCCTTTTTTTCTGGAAATATAAGAGTATGTGACATACAATAAATTACTGACTATTGTGGCCTCTGCAAATAAATATTCACACTAAAAGAGGTAAGGATTTAAATTTGAAATTGAGAATATAGTTTCTAAGTATAGAGAACTATCTGTTTTACTGTATTTTAATCCACAGAATTACATTACAGAACTCTACTAAGATAGAGTCAAGATAGTGTACATAAATAAATAAATAAATAAATAAAGAGATAGTGCTCTCTTTATTGCCAGCAGTGAAGTATGCGCAATTGGTATCATTCGCAAACAGCAATACCTACTGCTACTTTACAGTAAAACAATCCAGGAAGAGGGGTGTAATGAAAATAAGAACATGGACAAAAATAGAGAAACCAGTTATTGCTTTGTGAAAGCAAAATTGCCTATTTAATAAAAGAAAATTTACAATTTGACTCTATGAATAGAAAGATGAATAAAGAGTCTCAATGTCACTATTTTCTGGCAAATTATAAAAACACACATCCAAACTAGAAGTTCATCTTAAAAAGCTTTGCTTTAAAGAGATGTTTAAGTTAGTAGCAATCTATTTTGCTGACACGCTACTTCACTGGCACTTACATGTTTTCTAGTTAAAAAACTCCTTTAAGAAAAAACCCAAACCAACAATTCTATAGAAGTAAAGCTATGTTGTACTAAACTAAGATACAAGCCACATTAACTGGATTTATTGGAATTTTTAATTCAAAAGGGACAATTGCATAATGCCCTGAGTCTTATTAATGGCTTTTATTTATTCTGAAATTTAAAAAAATGTGCCTATCCAAAACTTGAGAGTCAGGAAGACCCTTTTATATTTTCCATGATACCGGCAAAATCATTCTTTATGTAAGTTTGGCTATATGGAATGTCTTTGGATAAACCTCAATTTCATCCCTAAAGTTAAAATGATTGGTACTCACCGACACCTGGCCATTGATAATGACTTCTTCTGAGAAACGTACTTTGACAGGGTTGGACTTCAATCTTGCCTTTTTTGCAGCACTGATAAATGCTGATTTAGGAGACTTGAAGAAAGAAACAAAGACAATAAAATATATCACATAGTTCTGAAATTATAATTTATCCTTCCTGCCTGAGTGATCTGTGTTTCTTATATCTCAGATAGTCTAGGTATTCAACAATATACTCTGAGCACTGTTAATTGAATAATGGACATTAAATCAAACCATAGTATAGTATTCCCTGAGGTATGGAAAAAATAAGCAAACAAAGCAGCATGCAATGATAGGCTGCAGCTTATTCAGTGACCAGACTGGAGCAACATGAAGTGCTCTCATTGTTAATGGGAAGTTCTCATAGGGCTTTTTCAATGATTGCTGTCAGATAGGCTTGTTTGCATGAGTAAATCCTGACCAGTGATCATTGGTGACCCTTTACTGAAACAAGGAATGGAAAACTTTGTATTGTCTAATGATTAACTATACACATAAACATGTACACACATGCATATTACCCCAAAAAAGTCTCAAATAGTTTTACAATTACAGTGGCATTACATTCATTCATTTCATATTTCAGGCCAGAACACTCATGAAGAATTGGCAGGTTTGCCCTATATTCCACATATATCATGTGAAAGGTTGTGTTAGAAACTTACAGTACACCACCACTTACCCACTCTGACAACTGTGATTGTAAGTTGTCTACCAATAATGTTATATGACAGAAAACACACATATGAGACTAAAAGGGGTTCAGCAACAAATGCTAGTAGGACAGTTAAACAGATGGACATGAAAAGATTCGAACATCAGTAATACTCAGCAATTAAAATATTTCTTGTTCCAGGGAAGATTCCATAAAATCACATTGCAGAGCATAATATCCAGAATTGTGATCTTCCCCTGACTTATCTGAGTACAAGGCCCACAGCTCTCTAATTCTGAGTTGATCTTTTAATTAATGGATACCACCATTGGCTCAACATCACTCTCCTTGGCTGTCTCTATTGGGTTTGTTAAATATACTTCTGGATACTTCAAAGAGATGCTGAGAGCAAACAATACATGAAAGCACTCAGGTTTCATACTAGGACCTCCAGAAGGTTGAAAATATCACACAAAATAAGCATAAAAATGAAAACAATTTAAGCATACAATAAAATAAGCATACAATTAAATGTTGTAATTTAAAGTATAGTCCACTATTTAAATAAATGTATTATTTGAGAAATGTCAAATATGACAGAGAAACTTCAAGTGTTATGGTTTGGTCACCATCACTGCAAACAATTCAAAGTAGCTATCATGGATATAAAGCCATTGCCTCTCAAAAGCAGAAAAACTTTTCCTCCAAAATTTAACTTTTTTAGTCATAAGCCTATCTCAGTATTTTTCTTCTGTTTGAGACACCCAACTTCTTATGGCTACTAGACATCAGCTAACATATTAAAGAGCAGAAGAAGCTAGCTGGAAAACTGCTCTTTTTTCAGTACACTGAGCAGAAATTAACACCATGAACTCCAGTGCTCAGATGGTCAAAATCTGACTCTTAAAGTTCCTGAGGAAATTAAGACTCTGAGTTTTGGTTTCTCTACAAATACTCTTCTCAATAGCCTCATTACCATAAGGCCATCAGGAACCCAAACCTCCCAACCAACAAGGATATTACCATGCCACCACTGGATAGCTCAAATCTAGAAAACCCTTTTGCAAATATGCCAAGCAGCTCTATGATGATAACAAGAGCAGTGAAGAACAATGGAGGGAAGCCTGGGCAAATACCAGCCTGCCACAGAAATACATCATCAGCCAATACCCCAGCCAGGATTTGACCTACAAAGAAAGATTTGATCCTCCCTGAATTTCATCTGGACACTTTATGGAAAATATGAGCACATATTCTATTAATGGAAAATCAAAGAGATTCCAGCTTCCTCTTTTACGATACTGGGGGGGGCCATGCTGATTGCCAAGCTTTGCTTGCAAGGATTTTTCCTATATGTCAAAATTGGCCAACTGCTCTGTAGGTTTTTCTCACTTCCATCCAGCATCTCAAAGGTCTGGGCTTTGGCATTTTAACTGTGTTTTCATATCACTAGTGGTTCCAGTATGGTTGGTAAGCCTGAAAGGTCAGTTGTGAGGTTCTGTATCCCAACAGACTGCTTGGGTAGAAACCCTGAGCATGGCATTGCATGTCTCTAGGCTCTGTTAAACCTATGGTTTCCTTCATCTTATTCCTCCTGCTATCTGAGTGGAGGAAAAGAACCTGTTGGGACACTGACTTCCAAGATTTCTTGGGCAGGTCTGGGTAGGTTTACAGAAGTTGGGGCCATTTATGTCCAGTGAAATATGTTCTGGAACAGCCCTGCCATGTAGATGAGAGAAACAGTTAAGGATTGGTAATAACATTGTGGCTTCTGCATTTAACCATACAACTGCATACATACTTCATTGTTTTCATATCTGTATCATCTAGGCTCTCAAAATTTGACCATAAATGATAGTCAGCTGTTTCTAAAAGAAAAAATATACTAATACCTTTTTTTTCCTTAGACTTTTACAATTCATATATTTAATAAACTAAGGCCAGTAATAGAGCAGATGCTATATGCGGTAGGTGATTTCCATTTAATGTCTTCATATTTGTAGCCTGAGCATATCATTGATTAATGGATCACTGAGTGGCAGGTTCATTTATTTCTGATGCACCATCTTTAAGCCAAATGGAAGTCATTATTCTCAGTTAATGACCTTAAGCAGGAGGTATTTACACTAATGCAATGTGTTTGTCACTGTGAGCTATGTGCATTGTCTCAGATAAAAGCATCCTAATTAGAATTACTTTTGCAAATGGGAGGATACATTTCAGTGGAGGATCAGAATATATAAACACCAACTAAATAACAGTGCAACATAACCAGTGCCAATAATAATCATTTGTTATGAGTTCAGATTTTTTTAAGCAGATTTAAATAAAAATGCCTTTCCTTTTGTGGCTTAGGATTTTATTCACACTGGCAACTTTAGCGATAGTCCAGTCAACAGCAGCACACCCAAGACACTTATATGATATCTCAAGGTGTTGTTATACAATTAGCATGTGCCAAATCTATGAATGTTAAATGGTATTTAAGTTAGAACATGCTGTGAGCAGTCACATGTTAAGGGTTAATACCACCTCTGACCGGCACACCTCTTATATGGCACTAGAAGGCTGTCAAACAGGTGTAGCTAGGAGCCAGGATGCCTGGGCTCTATCTTGGCTCTAGGGGAGCATGGGGGGAGTGGGGTTGAGGAGGCAGAGAAGCATATGTGCTGTGGCTTCCTTCCACAGACTTCCTTTTATTCCAAAAGAAATCCTTCATATATATGTAAGCATTTTTTAAAAATAAAATACCAAAAAAAAAGACCAAAGAATCTTACATATGTTAATGAATTGTTAATAAAGTAGGATGAAGTTAATGAACTGCCTAAAGAAAAGGGCTCTTAAGGGCCCACATTCCTGTCCTGAGATTGCGGGGGAAGGCTGGGGAGAGCGGGCTGCACTGCCCTTTGCTGACCCAATCACAGCCATCCTGACCAGATCCCAGACCCTTCAGCCTTCCCCAGATAGGGCTGCACCTTTTGCCTGGAGCCTGGAAAAAGCCACAAAAAAATTAATTAACTGTAGTTACTCATACTTAATTGAAATTTTCCTACTTGCCTGGCCATTTCCGCCAAGAGCTGTTGGCTTTTCCTGGTCACACACCTTGATGGGTGATGTGGCTTCTCTGCCCTGCCTATTCCTGTTTTGGGGTAGGTAATGGGTGGGAGAAAGCACAGGACCACTGAGGTTTAGCATTGGGGAATATGCAGCTGCAAGGAGCATGGAGTGTGCATCCTCCCTGGGCACACCGCTTTCCCAGGAGAGGGCTAAGCCTTTTGCCTGGAGAGCTCAAGCAACAGAGGCATACCATGAGAATACCAATGGGTGCTTGGAGTGGTACCATGTGGGCTGGGGTCACACCCACTGGGGGAAGATGGTGATGTTGGCTAAGGCCAGTACCAGCTCATCAGCAGAGGAGTTTGGGAGGGTGGTAAGTTTGTCCATGGAGAAGGCTGGGAGCAGTGAGTCCTGGGATGCTGGAAGACTACAAATTGCTCATTTTATTTCCATGGAGCAGACATGAGCTGGGTAGCATGACCCAGAGTTAACCCTCACCTGAAGTGGCATAAGTTTCAATTCATTGTCTTAGCCCCAGTTTAGATGTTCACATTTTAAGTGCCTTTAATACATAATGGTAACATGTAACAGTTCACTTTATCCTTTAAGTGGAGGAATAAGGACTGAATACCTCACCTAATCAACATAGTGGATATTACAATCCTAAGGTAAGGGAACACAAATGTTTGGAGACCTTTCAATAAGGGAAAGTTTCAAAAGGGCAGGAGCTCTGCACCAGCAACTCTCTTTTTGAAACCTTTCACTTTATAAAGGTATAAAGGGGTCCAAGTTCACATCCCAAGAGTCCAGATCCTAGAAAGGAAAACATAGACTCAAGTGCTTAAGCTTAAGCTCATGTGGTGCCCTATCAACCTCAAAGAGTCTGCACTTGTAGATGTCTTGGCCAGATAAAGAATTTAGAGATCACTGTAACAGAGACGTCTTGTCTTAAGTGAAACTGTTATCACTGAATATAAATAAGGGTCTACCAAAGTCGAGGTGGCTGCCAGCCAATTTTGTGGGCAGACCAAGGGCTGGGCAGCCATTTTTGTGGGTGGAGTACAGCAGGCGTCCAATGCCTCTGATTGGTTGAGAGGCCCAGTGGCCCTGCCCCTCACTGATGATTGGCTATGAGGGCTGTCCATCTTACAGGCATTCTACAATTTTGCATAACTCCCCTCAGAGTCCTCTTGCTGGCGACAGGGCTAGTGCCAAAATCTATGTTTAACGATATTCAGAAAAATTGATATTCAGCTGAATAAGAGACTACAGGTAAAAAAAACAGATGCATGAAAAAAACCTTAGACTAAATGTTGTTATCATACTAAGAAAAGAGAAACAAGAAGAGAAAGGCACTTGA